GCGGGAGGGTCCTGGGGGGGTCGCGGGAGGGTCCCTGGGGGCCGCGGGAGGGTCCCGGGGGGGCCGCGGGTGGGGGTCGCGTCCCTCCGCCGCGCGAGCTCTCGCTCTCCAGAACCGTTGTCAGGTCTGAGCAGCTTTCGGCTTAGGGGGATTCCATAAAGTCAGTAAAATCCCAGGTGCAAATACAGACTCGGGTGTCGCGGGCATGAAGTGACCGGGGTCAAGCGCCCGTGGCGTACACAGTCAGCGCCAATCGTTGCTCGCCGAGCGTTGCCGACGGACCGGGGGCTCGTTTGCCCGCACCCGCTGCCCGCCGCATCTTTGCAGAGCAGCGGGATGGGCCTGATGACAGCAGTCACAGCCCCGGCGCTCGTCGCCGCACAACCTTGGCGGGGCTCCTTCTTGGGTTCGCCCCGAAGGTTCTAGACCCGTCCGCGGAGGGGCCCCGGCCCCCCGTCGCGGTGCCTTTAAGGACCCGGTCCTCCGAGTCAGGTGACCGGGCCGTCGCCTAGCAACAGGACGCGGCGACCATCCGCGCCCGCGAGCTGGAGCCGGGTTCCCGCCCGGGGCGAGATGTCCCAGGAAACCCCCCAGGAGTGCGCGGAGCCCGCGGAGCCCGCGCAGCCCGAGAAAACCAGCGACCACTACCGCGTGAGCGAGGGCCTGCCGCGCAGGTTCAACCACCCGGGCTGGTTTCGGGGCTACAGGTGAGGAGGGTGGGTGCTGTCGCCGGGTGTCCCCGCCCGCCCTGGCGCCTGGTGCTCAGGTGGCCCTGAGTGTCAGACCCCTCCCCCAAGGGCCGGCCCGCACAAGTCCGGGGAGCGAGTGGTCAGCCGGGCGGCTTGTGTTGTCATTATCATCGGTGAGCCGCGAAAAGTGCCCCCAACGCTCTGCGGCATGGGATGACCCCTGTGGAACCCAGAAAACCCGCTTCTGGTCCCAGTGCCGCCGTCTTTTGACGGGGGTGTCTTCTCTGTATCCTGAAACTCCTCCCCAGGATGGGAACACAGACACGCTGCGTCTTCCTGCTTGAGTCAGCGAACTGTGAGCTGGCCGGGGGACTGTAGACTCCGGGAAATGAAAAGAAACGCTTAATTACTGCCAGGCAGGGGTGAGCAGCTCCCTGCACTCCCGCACCTCGTCCCTTCAGCAGTCCTATAGGGTAGGGTCTTTTAGTGTCCAGTTCTCCAGCAGGGACCACTGGGGATGTGGAGACGGTCGCGAACCCACAGCCCACTCAGCAGGACTCTCCTAGTAATGGCCAGTGGCGGTATTACTGACCACAACAACACTTCCTTCTTGATCTGCCCCTGATAGAAGCAAGGCCTCAGCAAGGGCGGCGGCCCAGAAGCTCAGGGACCCACTGGTGGCAGGGTCTGGAGGCCCCCAGCAAGTTGGCTCACCCCCCAGCTAATGACATCGTGTGCCAAGGCCTTGCCAGGGGTAGGGGTCAGCATCTGCTGCTGGGTGCTTTTTAGGGACTCCACCTGCCTTGGAAAGAGCAGGGCAGTGGCGAGCAGAGGAGTCTGGACCTGCCAGGACAGCCAGCCCCGCACACCCCGGGTGCCCACCTTCACCACCCTGGCCAGCTCACTCTTTCCTTGGGACGTTGCCAATGAAGCTCTGTCAGCTGGAGCTCCATCAAGTGCCGTACTACTTCAAGGCTGTGGCTCAGGCAGAATTAGAATAAACGAATGGGATGTAGATTGTGTTTCTCATCTTCCAGGGCCAAGGAGCCTGTCTCGGTGTACAGGACCAGTAACCAGGCATATGGGAGCAGAGCCCCCACCGTGCATGAGATGCCTGTGAGTGGCTGGCAAGGTGGGGCGTGGGGGTCTGTCTCTGAGAAGAGGATAAAAACCTGGAGTTCTCTGAAGGGCATCACACCAGAGGGAGCTGGAGGGGGAGGGGCCCAAAGTTCCAGTCACAAAGGGGAGGGAGGCCCCTTAAACCTTTTGGGAACACAGCAGAGAGAAAGAAATGAATGGATGAATTATGTGTGAAATGGTGTATAGAATGAGAAAAGTGCACATAGACTTGCTTACAACACTGCCCTCGTCCCCCGTACACACAGCTGTGCATATAGCGTTCGTACATACACACAGCTGTGTGGTGTTACCATGTACACACGGCTGTACGCACAGCGTTCACACATACACACAACTATACAGTGTTCACACGTACACACAGCCATACATGCTATGTTCACACATGCACACAGCCATATGTACACACAACATACACACATTCACACAGCCATGCACACATACACAACCGTATACACAACATTCACACATACACACAGCTATACACATAGTGTTCACACATATACACAACCATCCTTTGCAACCTAAGGCAGTTGGTATTGAGGACTACTTTCTTTCTGAATTATACTTTATTTTATGAGATACTAACTTGTGGCCTTAAAAGGCAGTACCAGCTGAAAGCTCAGATTTCAGGAGGGCAGGGCACGGGGGGTCCGCAGGATCTATGTGCTTTTGGGGAAGCCCAACCCCTTTTTGAGATTGACCTCCCACTCCAGGGCATCCCTCCTAGAACTCACAGATCCCCTGCATGCCCAGAACATCAGGACCACCCTTTTTGGGGTGAGAAGGGTGTGTGCGTGTGTGTGTGGTTTTTTCCAAAACACTCATTACTTAATAAAGATCTGGTAATTGCTTACTTAGGTGTGTTGTGTGGGTGATAGAGCTCTTGTGGGAAGGAGATTATTTACCTAAAAATTTTCCAGAGCATTTGAGAGTCACGCTCTCAGAATCAAAAGATCCTGAGTTTTCCTGGGGATCAGGTATTTCCATGAAAAGACTAGCAGATTCACTCACACGGGTCCAGATGTTTCAGCTTTATAAAAGGCCACGAACAAAATGTTCCTGTTGTAAACAGTAGGGGTTTTCCGTTCACTAGTCTTACCAGGCAATGGCATGTGAGGTGTGAGGGTATTAATGAGGAAAGTGTCGAAGGAGGTTTTCCCTGCTTCTTACCACCTGCTCAGTCTGGAGCCTGTTTTTCAGTTTCTTGACCAAATGTGGGTGCCGGACTCAGCGAGCAGCTGTTGGTATTTATCTACCATGTGGGGACAGGAAATAAAATGCATAGGAGGAAATTATTCTCTATGATACTGTAGTGGTAGATACATGTAATTGTATGTTTATCAAAACCCATGGAATGAACTCTGGCTGGAGCTCAGTGCTTCTTAACCTCAGCAGGGCAGCCCCTCCCCAGACTACTCTGGTGGGGTCTGGGCATCAGAATTTTCTTAAAGCTCTGCAAATGATCCTAATCACAGTTAGGCTGAAACCCACTGATATAAATATTATTTCTATTCCACAGAAGAGAAAGACGAAGTTCAGAGAGGTCTAGTAATGTGCTCAGAGTAGCACAGTTAGGAAAAGCAGACCTGGGGTTGCTCCAGGCCTGATCTCCATGTGAGTGCTCATAACCACACCCTGTGTGGAAATGCTACACCCAAGTGGCTCTGTAATTTATCCTCTATCCATGTTATAGTGAGATGAGGCCCTACTAATAATTACTCCCAGACATCAAACATAAATTGGGATGGTCGGGGGCAAACTAGGCCATCTTGCCCACCCTGGCTTATCTGCTTCTTAGAAATAAAGATGGCATTTTCTTACAAATTCTTACTTTTCTTCCCAAACTACCTAACTGATTGCTCAAAAATATTGTCATGCATCATTAACCCTAGTGTTCCTTTTCTCTTCCAGAAAGTATTTTTTCCAAATTCAAATAAATTTTCTAGACAACTTGCAGCCAATGGAATGTTCCGGAACAATACTTTCAACATCTCTATGGAGAAGAGCGTGGTGACGGGCCCTGACAACTACATCACCTCCTACGACCGGCTCAACTTCCACCCCAGTTACAATGTCAACAGGCCTTCCATCTGTGACTGAGGCGGGGCTAGAAAACCCCTCTCAAGGAATCTTCTGACTTCAGTGGCCTTCCGGAAAACTGTCATCCGTGATCCTTGAAATTCACCCAATTATAAAGGTAGACTTCACCTCTTTCTCTGAAAATATTTTTCCTCCCTAGAATAGAAAAATATGCAAATGGGGCTGTAATGTCCTGCTTTCTGTATCTTACATCTAAGAAGTACATGGAAAAGATAGTAAATGGCTTGACTTTCTATAAAACACGTTGTCATGTCCTGAATTCCTGACTCATTTGACATTTGTAATGAAGGAGCAGGGTTGTGGGCGCCCTCGGACCCAAATCCTGGCCCTAAGGCTGGGAATGCCAGAGTAACTCCACCAGAGGCTTTATTTGGGAGCCACTGTTACACACAAGAGCAGAAGCAGATCTCTCATCCTAACGCCCCCTGGCTGAAATCCCTGCACAAACACTGCGAGGCCCCCAGGGGAGCCCGGGATGCCTGCGGGGTGCGAGCAGACCCCTCCTCAGCTTTGCTAGACAAGCCTAGAGCAGGCAGGAGGGAGCCATTACCGTCTGCCGCCCACCCGAGGGGCAGACCCCCAAACACCTCTGATAGAACACACACTTCCATCTTGCCCAAAGTTACAAATAAGGGGCAGGGGGCAAATGAGAGGAAACAAGACTGGCAAATGCTGTTTACTGTTGAAGGGGGTAATGTGTACATGGGGGTTCTCTATGTTTATTTTCAAATTTCAGTAAAAAGTTTGAAAAAAGCAAATGGAATAACTTGTGTTTTTCTAAGGTGAGGGTATTAACTACATTAAGTGGATTTTTAATCTCTCTGTAGTACTACATCAATGTTTACTATGAATTACAGGGCCCTCTATAAGAAAAAATGTTCTTTCAGTGCTAGGGTATATATTTCAGACATATTTTTTCCTTTCTTTATGAGAGCAAGATGTGCTCATTGTAGGAATTTTGTAAAGTATCGAAACTAGATAGAACAACTCATTCTTACATGCCACTGATAATACCTTGCTACAGAGATTTTATCCACAGGGATTTTACTCATTTATGAATTAGGGAAGAAATTAAACACTGTGACTGGCTATCTCTTCATTATAAACTTTTTATTACTAATACACAAAAAGTAAATATTTTGGCAACATCCTTAGTGTCCAATTTGGAATGGAAATAGTTTCCAGAGAAAATCAATGTATTTGATAAAAAAGATACAAAGCTAAGCTTGAAAACAGATTCTGTGTAATGTCTTTCTCCTGAGCTGGAAAACCAGCAGGTTCCAGGCATCAAGCTGAAAATAGGTTTTTTAGTTTTTCCTTAAAAATATCGAAACGTCAATAACCCATCTGTGTATCCAAACACCCTGGAAAGAATGAATTCCTTGATTCTGAAAAGCAGGTTAGCAACTCCAGGGTAGGATAAAGCCATCAGGCCAGATAACTGTCCCCAACCCCACCCCAGAGCTGTGAGCACCCTCGCTACTGTAATGAGACGGAGGCAGCTTCGTCCAAGCCAAGCGCGCATCTGAAGAACCACGAAATCCCCAGTTCTAGGCTGAGGGAGCTTGGCCCCAGCCTGGGAGTAGCGGTGGACAGACAAACGGTATCCGCATGGGTGCCGAGCTCGCCCGTGGGCCTCATGGGGTTGATTCGTCATCGTGGTTGGGCGCCGAGATTGCTTTAATTGGCCACATCCAATAAAGTGCTATTTCTGCAACAGCCACTAATGAATTAATGCAAACTTAGACTCCATACTTTATTTAGACCTATTCTAACTAGAACATGTGTCTGCGAAGATGACCGCTGACACAGTGTGCACGCCCGTCTTTCTCCAGCCCAGACTCCCGATGTCCACGTCCTGGCATCTGCCCACTGCTCGGCCCTCGTTACCTGATCCGATCCTCACACCCGGGGCAAGTCTTACTACTGTACCTCTGCTTTCAGATGGGAGAATGAGGATTCACAGGAAGTGCTGTGGGCAGTCCCCAGGTTTGAGCCCGCCTTGGGGATGTCCTGGGAGGTGCAAGGCCATCAGCATCTGACCCCGCAGACCAGCCCTAACTTCTCTGTATTTGCACGAGTCATACAGGAACTCCAGTGATTACGAAGCTCAAGACCTTCATCTTTGTAGCCTATGTCCAAACTGAAATCTTTATGTGTTGAGGAAGAAAAAAAAAAGTTTAGATCCACTCATCTAACTGAATGCTGGAAGAACGTGTTTTCCATTTGGGGTTATAGCGTACAAAATGGGTGGTTGAAAGTGAAAGGAAAATGACATCCAATCATTCCTCTGACCTTGGTCCTTTCTAAATCTTAAATCCAGTCAGAACAATTACAGAAAAGGTGATCAAAACATTTAGGGGGACAAATCAGTTTTCAGAGACATTGGAAAAAACAAAGGGCACAGTCATTGAAAACCTCTCTTCACGAGTAGGTGTCTGCTTTATTTGTCCTTTTTATTCCACTTGGAAATTAAAAGTTGAAAAATAAAGTTTCATTTGACTTTACTAATCACTTAATGAAGCTGCTAGTTTGGTTTAAAACCAGTAACTTCTTACCCTATATTTTCATTTACATTTCTGTATTTTTCTTCAGCAATCTTTTATCTTTTAATTAGAGTCAATTAGAATAAACAGTTTCAAATACATAGTAAAATATGTTGACATTGAAAAAAAATCTCTAATACTCAGTACACAAAATACCAGAAGCCTCAAAGACTTTGCAAATGCTGTCATATGGTCACCCCTCCCCAACAGCCATGCCTGAGCGTGAACCCGGTTGTGATGTGCAGATACCGACGGTGGGTTTTGTGCTGTTTTCCCCTCTAAACAGGCCCTCTCAGTACTTTTGAAGGAGAGGGGATAAAGGGGGCAATCTCTTTTACATTTTCATATCAGCAGATCATATCCTAATATTTAAAGTTATTGCCTGATTTTCCAATGCACATTTACCTTAAGTTGGGCAAGCCCGTGGTCTGACCAAATTCTGAGCAACAGATAAAATAGAGGGGACTCTTCCCTACAGGAAGACTGTCCCCCCTATATGGGGACGTGGGTGAAGAATAGCAGACATTAGTCACCAGGGCTTCCCCCTTCCCACCCCCATTCCTATTCCACGAGGACTTCAGAGACACTGACTCCAGGACAACCTCCCCTAGAGGACTAGACGCCTCTTAAAATTAGCCTCTCCCCATTCTTTGCATTAAATGAGACGAACCCCTGGCTACATTCCCTGGGAAGCGAGAGGTGCTCTTCGGTGTGACTTGCCTCTAGTTCTTAATAATTACAGACTTGTAAAGAGCTTGATTTAGTAACACCCCATCCACCTGAGTTCCTTTCTACAGGTGGGCACACATTCATTCATTCATGCAGCAGCTCCAGGGACACTGGTATGGCGCCTTCGTCACACCTGATCTGCAAACACACAGTGGTCATCATTCCTGACAGCTCCCTCTGCCCCACTGCTGGCCCCCTTCCATACAGGGAAGGCTGTGGGCAGGTGCAGGTGTGCCACTGACGTCGGTCTCTAAAACAAACAGGACAGTGTGGGGCGCCAAGGCTTTCACACCACACAGCACTCGGGGGACTCTGGGGAGGGACACATCAGCGCAATCAGGTTTATACCCAGGTTGTGAAGACAAGAAATGTGCTGAAGGAATCCCTCCCTCTTCAGCTGATTCTTAAAGGTGCCAAATCACTGCAGAAAGCAGGAAAAGAGGAGGTTCAATGGCAATTTTGACCAGCACAAGCAGAAAGGTTGGAGGAAGACCACAAATGCCCCAGGTGAAGCAGCCCCAAAGCAGATGCTGGCTGGTCAGCTCAGTGGGTTAGAGTGTGGTGCTGAGAACACCAACGTCCAGGGTTGTAGCCCTGTACCAGCCAGCAGCAAAAAAGAGAGAAAGCACCACAAGTGCCCCAGGTGAAGAAGCCCCAAAGCAGATGCTGGCTGGTCAGCTCAGTGGGTCAGAGTGTGGTGCTGAGGACACCAACGTCCAGGGTTGTAGCCCTGTACCAGCCAGCAGCAAAAAAGAGAGAAAGCACCACAAGTGCCTCAGGTGAAGAAGCCCCAAAGCGGGGCTGGCTGGTCAGCTCAGTGGGTTAGAGTGTGGCGCTGAGAACACCAACGTCCAGGGTTGTAGCCCTGTACCAGCCAGCAGCAAAAAAAAGAGAAAGCACCAAAGGTGACTCCCTCCTGGTGATGACAGGGACCGATCCTGGGCAGTTGCAGAGTCCACCCCACCATTGACACGGCGCCTCTTTACACAAACTGAAAATGGATCAAAATGTCCCGTGAAGAGGAACGTACGGTCATGGAGCATTCTTACTAAGTGAATAACCCACTGTGACTGTAAGCTAATTGCCGCGTGTGTATATGCGGAACATGACACACAGAGCCGATGGCAGTGTTTGTATGGATGCCGCGTCCCTTGATTTCGGGAAGCTGTCCTTCCCAGAGGTGTTGCAGCTCCGGCCTACACTGTGGTGCGAGTCAGGGCAGAGGATGTGGGAATGCGGGAGGAAGGGCTCCTGGGTCTGGGGGGAGACGGGAGAAGCAGTGTCCCCGCAGGTGGGGTGTGGACGGAGGAGCTCAGTGCTAAACGTGATGCCACAGTGGCTCTTCCCCTCACAGGCGGGACACTGCAGGCCCCAGAGGACAGTGGAGTTCTCACATCAACACCCTGCACAGGACAGACTCCGCAGAGAAAAGTACATAAACCGATTCATGGTAGTGCTTGATTTATTCGTATTAAAAAAAAGTTCCTATGTACAAAACAAGCTGATTTTTGTTTCTGAGGGTTGAAAACACTCTTTAAAAAATTAAAGCATGGATCACATGGATTTGTTTCTCCCAGAAGCACTTCAGTGAACGGATATGCCACGACAGAGGCATCAGACACACATCAAGAGGGCACTGGATAGTGATGGGGACCACAGGGCCAGCTTGTCACAGCTCCTGACCCAGCAGACGCCGAGTGTGGGTGGCAGGCGGAGTGCAGCTGTGTTGGGGTACAGGCGCAAATTATCGAGTTCTAAAACCCAGGGGTGCACAATGTGTAGAAAATTCACTTGTGTTAGGATACCAGCAAAATTCAGCTACAACGTAAGCCCCACATCACAGATGAACCACAACGCTGAGTTGTAAAACTCTGGGCGACTGAGGAAAGTTTGCTGGACAACAGCCATGTAAATGTTACGACCCCTCAGTGCCCATCAGAACTCCATGTCTCCACGGTAGCCACAGGCACCACGGCAGCCTCAGAGCAGAAGGCACAGGAGACCAAGGCAGTATCGATCAGCCTAAGCCCTCAGGACCAGAGGCCACTGCCTTTAACCTAGTCTTGGTGACAAAAAGGGCCCATCCTGGCTGCCACAGCGAGGCAGGCCACAGAAAGCTGCCAAAAGCACTGGCTGTTGTTGGGCACACCCCCGACTCGGCTCTGGCTCCTGCAGGGTAGGTGTCGGGAAGGCTTGTTCCCAGGACTGGGTTTTGCACATCACCAGTGCCCAAGGTGTTTGGGGACCAACACTCCTAATGCAACTCTTGCACTCACTTATGCGCAAAAATCAGAAAAAGGAAATTTAAAATGTCAGTGTTATCTTTCAGAAACATGCTTAGAAATGGAGAGCAGGAGCACCCATATAAAAAGAGGTTTATTTAGATGTTAGAATTATCCAGTGATTGAACAGGACTGGACATCAAACGCTCCAGGCTTCAGGGCTGAGCTGCATAGAGCGCGCACAGGGGACAGCTTGGGCAGTCTGTGCGTTGGCCATTGTGCTTTGAAACATTTTCCAATCAAAGACTGGGACTGCAAATTTCAGAAGTCATGCTCTGGCCTGTGGGGACCCAGGAGGGTCCTTTATATAAAAAGTGCTGTCCCAGGAGCTTCCCAACACCCTTGGGCATTTAGTGATTCTTGGGCAGGGCAACTGCTGCCTTCCTCAGGCTTGAGCTGCAGGTACAGTGGGACATTTTCACCAGCAATCACCCCAAAAGGCCCCGTCTTGGAGTCTCCTTGAACCTGGCCGTGACAGTAAGAACCAAATGTTTGCTAATCTAAGACTTGTTTGCAGATCACAGAAAACTGCAGTTAGGAACGCTCTACAAAATTGAATGATGATATTTTCCAAAAATATTTTTTACATCACTTTAAATAATTTACAAAAAGCTACAAAAACCATATTTACCAGGACACACCTGTTAAATAAAAACATTGTTTCATGTTAGCGTACATATATACAGGGCGATGAACACAGACTCCAGTTTTCTCTCCTTTTAATCACGAGGATTATCTATTCACACACACAGACACACGCACAGATATACTGCTTTCCACGAACGTGACAAAGCCAGGGAGCCACTCACAACTGGACGGCTTTGCCCTTCACGACCGATCTGCCACCCCCATCCTCCACGGAGGTGTCACTGAACTCGCTGGCATCGCTGCCCAAGGTCTCCTGGTCTGGGTCGTCCCTGTCCATGGCCCTTCCTCGGTACCTTAGGTCCAGAAGGTTCTCCTCAGAGCCCGAGTTCCTCCTGTCATGCAAGCTGAGCCCTGCCTGTGCCTTCCTGCTGGGCCAGTGCCCACCTTCCTTCTTCATGAGCAAGTGTGGGCTTCCGAACACGGGGCTGGGGCCGGCCTGGGTCTCCCTAAAGGCTGAGAAGGCTGGGCCCTGCAGAGGCAGCCCCAAGTGGGGGCTGAAGAGGCTGGCTGGCTTGCCCCCCCAGGAAACACTCTTTCCAAAGTGGAACAGCTGGGTGGAGAGCAGTGGGGAGAAGCCTGCAAAGGGCAGGCTGGGTGGGCCCCTGGCCTGTCCCTCGGCCCCCTTCTCTCTCTCACTCCCAAGGCTCCCTCTCCATGCCAAGTCTCTGCCATCCGAGTTCAGTGCCCATAGGCTGGGCAGCCTGCTCTGGTGGGCGAAGTCGCTCCAGGGCAGGGCACGGTCGGCCTGGGTCCGGCCATCCCTCTCAGCACCCAGGCTGGGAGTCGGGAGGTGTGGACTCCCATAGGTCATGTGAAAGGTGCCCCCGGTGCCTCCTGCCTCTGTGCCAGCTCTGGCACAGCTGGACAGCTGACTGAAAGCACTTTCGGGGGTGGCAGGCTTGGCCCCTCGCTGGTTCTGGTCTTTGTGACCATAAACATTTCTCCTACTTACTGGAGACCCTTTGGCAGGGACATTCCCACTGGTGCTCCTGGGCGCCAGCTCGCACCTGGCCAGAGCACTGGGGAGGCCAGCGGTGGGCTCTCTGCGGGCGGTGCCCTTCCTGCCCTGGATGAAGAGGCTGGCTGTCCGGTGCCTCCTGCCTCTGTGCCAGCTCTGGCACAGCTGGACAGCTGACTGAAAGCACTTTCAGGGGTGGCAGGCTTGGCCCCTCGCTGGTTCTGGTCTTTGTGACCATAAACATTTCTCCTACTTACTGGAGACCCTTTGGTAGGGACATTCCCACTGGTGCTCCTGGGCGCCAGCTCACACCTGGCCAGAGCACTGGGGAGGCCAGCGGTGGGCTCTCTGCGGGCGGTGCCCTTCCTGCCCTGGATGAAGAGGCTGGCTGCGCTCTGTGTTCCAGCTCTTTCTGCGCCCTTCAGGCCTTCAGCAGGTAGAGGGGCCCCCCTGGCTCTCTGGCTCCGCGTGCACATGCCAGGCTGCGGGGCTGGCTCCTTCCTGCACAGCACCTCTGGCCTAGCTGGGCCCCCTGACCCAAGAGCAGTGGTGCCCCCTCCTTGGATTTCTGAACTGCCCACCGACTCCTTGGCCTTTTCTGCCAAAAACTTCCTAATCTCTAGTTCGATGCTATCGTTGCTGTCCACTGAACTGCTATCATCAGACAGGGAGCCGGGGCTTGGGGCTGAACGCTGCTGATCTCGGGCTCCCATCTCACTGGAGAACAGGTTCCCTTCAGCTCTTCTCCTTAACTGGAAAGCTGGCGCGGCATCCTCGTTCCTGGTGCTGTCCAGCTTTGTCCTCTCTGTTATGCTACTGAAGATGCTTGGCGGCTTTCCCACTAGGCTCTCCCTGCTGGCCCTTCTGGACTTGGAGAGGCAGCTCTTCAGCACGTGTGGGCTTCTGTCCTTCCAGTGTCTCTGGAAGCTGCCTAGCTTATCCAAGAACCGCGTCTCGGTGGTGCTGAACCGGACCTTCTTCTTGCACGCAGCCCTGGGGTCCCAGCCCCTCTTCCTGAGTCTGCGCTTGGACCTCAACAGGTCCTTGATGGCTGTGTCCAGGTCCTCATCACTGTCTAGTGAGCTGCTCTTGTCCTCAGAGCTCTCCTTCCCATCCACACTCCTTGCCTCATCCACCTTACTGTGGCCTGGAGAGACCTGGGTGTCACCAAGCCCGACTATCCTGGGGGGCAGAGGCTGGCCCCTGGCCTCGCCCTCTCTTCCTGGGGCCTCGCTGGCTCCTCCCTGGCAGGGTGGGACCTGACCCTCATGACTGGAACCCTGGGCACTCTCTCTCACCACCTCCCTCGCTTGCTTGGGTGTGGATGGCCTTACAGTGCTGACCCCACCTCTGCGTTTCCTTTTCCAGCTAAGTGACATGTCCGGTGTTTTAGAGAGAGGGGCTTTGGGGGTGTTGGGGCCATTTGGGGCCAGTGGGTCCTGTGTGGACTGTGGATAGCCTTCGGCTTTGGCCAGCAAACTCCCCGACTGTGCCTTGAGGGCCAAAAACGTCCGGATTTCCTGCTCTATGCTGTCATCACTGTCCACAGAGCTGCTGTCGCCAGAGCGGGAAGGCACATTTGGGGAGAAGAGTGGGCTTGCGGACAACGCTCTGTCGCTGCCCTGTACAGGGGCCGGCAGGATTGTCTTGGAAATGTCCAGGATTGCTTCGGCGCACATCAGCTCGGCAGACGTGTCTGCCCGGCATGAGGACCACTCCACGCACTCGCCTCTGGCCGCCGTGTTTCCTGGAGGTGAAGCTTTGGTTTCCTTCGGCAGCTTGGAGGGGTGGTCAGAGTCCAGGCCCCCCAGGCTGGGGTCAGTGGCCCTTGTGGCCACTTGCTTCCTCTTGCTCGGTGTTTTCCTATGGGTCTCGGGCAAGGCACTTTTCGTGGTGGTGCTTGTGCTGTGTGGGGGTGGCTCAGGCCCCTTCTCTCTGAGCTGGGCGCTCTGCGGTGGGTCCCCACTGGCCTCCTTCCGCGTCTTCTCCAACTGGTACAGCTGAATGGCCTCCTCAATGCCGTCGTCACTACTGGAGTCAGGTGCCTCGGGCACCAGGGCTGCAGTCCGGACACGCTTACCCCTCTTGCCTGCGCCCCTCTTAGTCCCGCCCTTGCTCTGTGCGGTTTCTGCAGGGTGGCAGGGGGCGGCTGCCTCTGTGCCAACCTTGGACCTGAGACTCCTGGGCTGTGCGTTCACCTTTGCCAACCTGGGCGGTTTGCGGAAAACGAACTCCTTACAGGCCCCCATCAGATCCCTAGCAGTCGGCTCTTTGTTAGATCTAAATGTTGATTTGGCTGAGTTTTCTTGTGGGTCTGGGTGTTTATCCTCAGACCCGTCACATTTTTGGGTTTCATGCTGTCTTTTCTCATTCAGAAACTGTTCTATTTCCGCCCGGATGCTCTGTTCGAAGGAGTCATCACTGCTGACACTTACAGGGGAGGCAGAGCCCCGGTCCTCACTGGCTCCCTTGTGGCTGCCAGGGACACTGCCTGAGCCAAGTGCAAGTCTTGGGGGACACAAGGCAGCTGGGGTGCTGCTATGCACAGGTTCTGGTTTGCATCTACTGACTCCACCTGTAGCCCCAGAAGGCTGGGCCCTGCCAGGCGGGGCCCCGCGGGACACGGCCTGCCCAGCTCCGCTCTTTGCCTTTAGATACTCCTGGATGGCCTCCTCGATGTCGCGGTCCACAGAATCATCACTATCCGAATCCAGCACCAAGGGGCCAAAGTTTGTAGCTTCCTCCTGCCCCGGGGGGTCAAACTCGGCAGTAAGACCACAGGCAGCGAATGCGGGCTGCTCTTTGTGCACAGTGGGGCTAGCAGGCAGCCTGGCATCGTGGCACCTCTCTGCCTTCTGGCTTCTCTGCGCAGTGCGCACATTGCTCATGCCCAGGGCCACCTCGTCACGCTGCAGAGTGCTGATGATCATTTGCACCTTGGCACTCACTGACGCTCTCTCGACGCCCTCGTTAGACTCTGAGAAGCACCCGGGAAACCTAAAGCTCCCCGGTGGACCAAAGGCCTCCCATTTGGACTGGAGAGCAACCACTGGAGGGGCATTCATGAGAAACATTCTAGCAGACAGGGAGGGACGCGCAGGGAGGGCAATGCTTTACTTTTCCGCCAGCTTCACATCCTGGGAGGAGAGAAAGCACATTGGCAAGATGGGTCTACAAAATCAGCTAAGTTAGTTACATCACGAGTGGCCACAAACAGCCTAGGTTCACAGTCAAGAGAGCGGGATTAAAACCCAATATCCAATTAGCGGGGTGTCCCCGGGCTAGTTACTGATGCTTCCTGGGCCTCAGTTTCCTCAGCTGTAAAAGGAGGAACTTACTCCCTCCAGCCCAGGGCTGCTGTGAAGACTCGATAAGAAAATGCTTCCAACCCCCCCAGTGCTGTGTTCACACAGAGCACACAGTGTCATTTCCCTGTCCCCTTCTTTCTTACTCTGGGCTTTTGGCTTCTCCAAAAGAGGAGAAGAAAAGTTATTTACCTCAAAAGGTTGTCAAGAGCTGCCAATGAGATAAAGTCTGCAAATGCTTCTTGGTAGGGTAAAAAGAATGACTATTCTGAGTCCAAGGTTAGCAAGACTTCAGGGTTGATTCTTTCTGGCCATGACCAACTAGCTCCTGAAACAAAAAGTTATACGATGTGAGCATCTCAAAAATTGTTTCCCCAAACACAGGGCTGGCTGATGAGCTCAGCTGGTTAGAGTGCAGTGCTGATAACACTAAGGTCAAGTGTTCGGTCCCCATACTGGCCAGCTGCCCCCCCCCCCCCCAAAAAAATTATTTCCCCAAACAGGTTTAAGAGTCATTTTTACTAAAGTGTTTTTATATGAAAATGTCAAATGTGTCCTGGGACCCTATCATTATTTTTAGCTAATTAGCATATTAGTTGCCCCAAACTGTCACATGCCCCTTTCCATCCTGTCCAGTTGCTCCTGGTTTCCGTTATCTCAGACCATATTCAGCTGCCTCAGCAGAACCAGTGGGCTGGTCTTGGGAACACTTCAAAGACCTGCTTGCCAATGGCCTTTCCACGAAAGGCCTGGACACCGCCACTGCAGAGGACCATGGTGTAGACAGCAGAGTTGCTTAGAAAAATACCAGACACATCGTGCACCTGTTAATTCTTAATGCTTTTGTGTGATCCCCCTGCCCTCCTAAAAATTGGAGTGCAAAGCAGTTCAGACATGAGAGCCCCCCCAAAGGCCACCGATACAGGGAACCCGAGCTCCCCCAGGAATGGTGCCAGTGGCCTGACACTGGCCTATGCATCGCTTTGCTTCTGCTGTGGATCCTTCTCTACCAGGAACTTCCTCCGATTAACCAGGAGCTTCCTTCCCGACAAGCACATAATCTGATGTTTACACACCACAGTCATTTTCCAAAAAGGTGGGGCAGGTCACCTAGACACAGATGTGCACACAGGGACGAGCCAGCAATCAACTGGAGGGCAGAAGCCAGTCATTTGCTAACACTGGTTTGTGCTCTAAAAGTGAAACTAAAATGTAAGAATTTACTGTAATTACTTAAATTCTGTTCCAGTCCAAGTTCACCATGATGAGACAGCAACCCATGTTCCAAAATGCTTCAGGGGTTAGGTCTTCATCACTTACAATTCAAAGCCTCTTTTGCCTGCTTTTTTTTTTTTTTAAAAAGATGACCGGTAAGGGGATCTTAACCCTTGACTTGGTGTTGTCAGCACCACGCTCAGCCAGTGAGCGAACCGGCCATCCCTATGTGGGATCCGAACCCGGGGCCTTGGTGTTATCAGCACCGCACTCTCCCGAGTGAGCCACGGGCCGGCCCTTGCCTGCTTTTTAAATAGATTTTCGACTACCAGAATTAAAGAGAATCAGAGACATCATTTGGATATAGAAGTTGCAGTTCATAAATATTTTTGAAAGAAATATCATTAACTTAAGGGCTCAAAATTAAACTTTGGAAGAATTTATCCTGCGACCAAATATTTTTAACCATAACTAATTTCCACCTGTCCCGGGCAGGACAACAGGTCTGATGCTTTAGTGGTGGCAATGGGGTGGGGGAGTGGGTGGGGAATATGGGAAGCTATCTACCCATTCTCAAATTCTTGCATCCCACTGCACTCCATGACTTCCCCGTAATGTCTCCTGTGGAGAGTTTCCCCACATTTCAGTGGCATGGAGACCTGTGCCCACCTTGCCAGGGGCATTATTCAAACTGCCTTGAATAAACAACTTCGCATGAGCCTTGGGCTATGAAAACTTACATCAAGAATATTAACTCCTTAAAAAGCAACACTACCTTAAAATTAGGCCCAGGCCACTAACTGCACTGATTTTTACACTAGACGGCAAAGTTGGGGGAAAGGGAGTTTTCTCGAGGAAAAAACACTCTAATCTCTAACCGTGTTTACAGCTTTTAAATGACTCCAGATAGCTGGGACTCCCAGTGAACAGTTTTCTGAGTTGTCAAATTACCTAGTCCAAGAATGAGGTTAAAAAGTCAGGGGGAGTCTCCCAGAGTTGGCCTGTGGCTTTAAACAATCCACCGCATGAAACCAATCATTCCAGAGTGCTCCCCTAAACTGCACTTAGGGAAAAGGGGCAGGGGGAACGGGAAGCCAGGGGTTCAGGCTTTGTCAAACTGCGGCCCACACCCCGAGGGCCCCCGGAACTAGCTCTCGAGGGTGGCTGTGGGGACCCCCAGCACCTGTACCCCAAAGCCCTGTGGTTCCATAATTTAAGAAGTACCGCCAGGCACTTGGGCATCTTCTGGCTAGACACCACCCTCCTGGAGAGAACAAAACCACACTTAGCTCTCGTCATCTTCACAGTCTAATGCCCCCGAATACATTTCTTACCTCCCAGGTGGGGGTTTCTCCACGGTTAGGGGTGGCCCAGGCTCTGCACGCCAGGAAGAAGCACCGGTCCAGGAGGGGGGCCGGGCAGCGGCAAGGTCCTCTCAAGCCAACCCGAGGTGGGCGCGCGCTAGAATCCAGTCCCTGGCCTGCCAGAAACTGAGATTTGACAATATCACAACGAGCTTCCTCCATCAAAGCTGCAGGCCACTTCCTGTGCGCGGGGAGCGGGAGGCGAAGTGAGACCCTCTCAGCCGCCTCTGCCCTGACCTTCCTGGGGACAGGGAAGGGCTCATGTCCCTGCCCGAGGGGCGCTCACCCTGGCCGCTGCCTCTGTCTGGAGCAGCGCCCCGGTCCGCAGCCAGGTGAGCGCGAACCCCCCACGGGAGACGCCCGGCCCCCACGCGGGTCTGCGCCCCGGAGTTGTCTGTCCGGGACCCGAGGACTTAGCGGCTCGGGGCCGCAGAGCTCGTCGACCCTCCCGGAAG